AAATTGATTTTTAATGCTATATATTTTTGTAATAGTTGAACAATAAACATTTACTGTCACTGATTTGTGCTGTATGGTGATGTTCAGTGTTACCACCACTCTGATCCATCCATCCATCTATTCACTTCCACTTATCCTTTTCAGGGTCGCGGGGTCACTGGAACCTATCCCAGCTGTCTTAGGGCGAGAGGCGGGGCACAGCCTGGACAGGTCGCAGTTGTGTTATGTATTATTTTAATATTAATGTCAAGTGAATGGGATTTTTTTTCTTAGTCCATTGTGAAATTTAGAAAATCACATAGTAATTTAATTCAATTCAGCTTTATTTAGACAGCACCAAATCACAACAACAGTCCCCTCAAGGTACTTTATACTGTAAAGTAGACCCTACAATGATACGACGTCCAATGAGCAAGCACATCCAAGATGACAGAGTCCCCGGGTGGAGCGCCCTCAACCATCCTACCCAGGGACGCCAAGCCTGAGACAGTCCTGGCCACTGCAGCACACGCTAACCCAGTAAACCTATCCCAGGCAGGGGGAACTGTTCCCTGATGTTCATCAGCAGCTGTTCTCACAGGACAACATCTGCAACATGATTTATAAAATATGGTCCTGGACATGTAAAGTATTTAAAATGTAATTAAACAACCCCAGCCTGAAACAAACACAACGATAACACTGATGGGGAATATTTGTCCTCAGAGGAATTATGTTTACTTGCAGCACTTTTACGTCCACTGAGGTGTTTTCATTGTGTTTTATTGCTCAAAGGAATGGCTGGCTAATAAAAATGTGATAATTCTTACAATTCTTCAGCCATAAAGGAGTGTAGAAAAGTGAATGACTGATAACATCTGTGTGGCTGGCAGAGTGCAGACAGCTGCACATTTACAGTTTTTCTGCATTGCTTTAACAACAACAACAATAATAATAATAACTTTATTTATAAAGCACTTTCAAACAAAGTGCTGAACAGTTACATGGATTCAACAGCCACTTTATTAGGTACATCTGTTCAACTGCTCGTTAATGCAAATATCATTTAATCAGCCTGTAATGAATCAGCAACGTTAAAGCATGTCGACATGGTCAGAACAGCCTGTTGGAGTCAAACTGAGCATCAGGAAGATGACTGGACGAGGCTCTTGATACGAGACGAGTATTTCAGACACTGCTGGACTCCTGTGGTTTACAGAGAGCGGCCTGAGACAGGAAACATCCAGTGAGGAGCAGTTCTTTGGGTGAAACTGGCTCGTAGAATGAACTCGAGACAGGTGATAGGAAGGCAACAGTAACTCAAACAACCGCTCGTCATACACAAGTTATGCAGATGCGCATCTCTGAAAGCACAACACATCAGACCATGAAGCAGAATGGCTACAGCAGCAGAAGACCACACTGTGGGCTACACCTGTCAGCTAACAACAGGAAACTGAGGCTACAGCTCACATGTGACTCTAAGCCTTGGACTCTAAGGCTTCTGTCTTCACTGACAGGTTTCATCTGGATTTTGAAGTTAATACAGCAACATTTGTTCATGTCAAAACGGAACTGACAAACAAACAGTAGAGGGCAGCAACATCCCAGCGCTGTGTGTATTCTGCCTTAATACAGAAGACGAAGAAGAGAAGCGGCTGTTGTCAACAGTGTGGCCATATGGCTGCGTTATCCTTACGGTATCCTGTGTGTATGTGAGGTGATACTACAAACATATTAGTGTCCATTACTGAGAGGCTCGGATCAGACGGTGCGTTTAGTCCCCGAGCAGCGACAGCCATGGCTCATCTCACCCAGAACCCCGCGGATAAAGAGCGGTAAGTCCAGGACCCTGGCTAAGCTACAGCTAACAGAGCTAGCTGGTTTCTCGTGCAGACTCTTGTTGAGAGTTTTAAACATTTAAGGAAACAAATGCACCTACAAACGACACGTGCTTATTTTAAGATGTTGAAGCACACATGTGGATCCTGGGAGAGAGATCTTCAGTTCGGCATACAGTCCCGCAGCTTTTAACTGAAGCTCCACGGAAAAAAGGTTGTTTTAAGGGGTTAAATGTTCACTTCACAGCCGAACCTCGACGATGAAACGCCGGTGAAACGAGGACATTAGGAGAAGCTGACACTGAGTTTTTAAAGGACTTTTACTGAAATGTCTTTCTTGCCGATATTTAAATCGTATTTTGTACTGAGCTGTGTGTAAAGTCTCGGGGAACAGAGGGAAAGTTAAATTGCGCATTTTCTACATGAAGTTTGGCCTGTGGTCCTCATCCTTAAGCATGACGTGTGATTAGAAGTTTAAGCTTGATGTTTACAGACCGCCTTATTTTTAAAGCTAAAGGGACTAAATGTGATCAGAGTCACATTAATGTGCAGAAAGTTTGCTGAACGTTCCGGTTCGGAGAGTTTGATCAGATCTGTGGAGCTCAGAGCTCCTCTTTGTGGAGCTTACAGGATGTTTCCCTCCTCAGTCAGAGGAGCTGGTACCACAGGGATCTGAGTGAAGAGCGGAGAAACCAAACTGGAAGACAAAGGTCTCATTTCTTTGTTTTGTTTACAAGCAGACAGACGTTCTTGTAACTTTTAAAGTGCTCTTGAGCAACAGTTCTCCAGAAGGCCTCCATTGTCTTCTCTCATTTTTAGCCCAGTCCTTGTTCCTGACTGTTTTTATAGTGTTTGTTTGTTATCTTTGTTTTGATGAAGCCTCTGAACTCTGACCTACGAATCACTGAAACATTAAAAACAGCTCCCAACTGAAGGCATGGACCCGCGCCGTGCCGACACACAGCAGACCGTTTCTTTAGTTGAGTCTGTGAAAAATGCCAAAAACATCACATTTTGACATAAAACAGTATTTTTGATCCAACACGCTGATTCCCAAAGAGCTGATAACGTGACATATCTCAGCGTGGTGTGGAGCGTTTATTTAGAAGTCTAAAGAAAAACTGTACAGAAGAAGTGTGAGGCCTAAAAACTCTACAGTGGATCAACAGGATCTGAAAGACCTGACACAGGAGCTGAGAGATGATCTGGATCTTCAGCTGATCGTCTAATGTTCACTGAAGCTTCATCAGAAATGTCTCAGTGGAGGACGGCTTGTAGGAAGACCTTAATGAAGGGATACAGGAGGAAAGTCGGAGCCCTGAAGACCAGAGGAACAGGTCTGATTTAGAGATGGATCCACATCAGTGTGTACGAGGAGGTCCCACACTGAGAATCTGCAGGTGGAGACTCTGTCGTGGTTTCAGCTGCAGGTGGAGTCTGATCCTCCATGCAGGAACATCTGATGTTAGCAGCTTCATGTTTCAGCACGACGATGATCCCAACACACGTCA